CAATATTCTTTGTAGCAATTTCCTTGTGAGGCCATTTTGATGCAAAGCGATGATGGCTGTACGTGTTTCTTTGGAGGTAACCATTGCTAACAAGAACACAATGATTGGAAGACCTTCTTCCCCCCATCAGTCTGCTCTTACAGTCTAATTAGTATGATAGTGATTTCACCTGACTAGTACTCATTCACACTTTCACATGTGCTGCTGATATGATTAGTCAATTAATGTTAGCTGGTCATTTTGTGTCAGGATCAAACAGTGAAATTTGTTTGTTTTTTTGTGAAAAGTTGATTTTTTTTTTTTTGGTCAATGAAGCTTTTAGCAATTATTTAAAATGCATCTGATCACTCTACACAATAATCTAGAAACAATGTGAATGAACACCACAACAGTTTAAGCAGACTTTGCAAAACACAAAATTTATGTCACTGCCAAAAATTTTGGCCATGACTGTAAAACAAATCAAAACTCAAACTCATCATATTTGGAGGTGTACCCTGGGATGTATTTTAAACGGTCCAATTCATTCATTTAAAAAATGAAATGAATTAAAAGTTTAGTTTTGTAAAGACACCACAGTTTACACTACCATTCAAAGGTTTGGGGACAGTATGTTTTTTAAAGAGAGTAATACTTTTATACAGCAAAAATGCATTAAATTGATTTATAATGTAACAAAAGATTTTTATTTTAAAAAATGCTGTTCTGAGGGATCATGTGACACTGAAGCCTGGAGTAATGACTGCTGAAAATTCACCTTTGCCATCACAGGAATACATTACATTAAATAAAAGTTATTTTAAATTGTAATATTATTCAACAATACTGTTTTACTGTATTTTTGCATCATAAATAAATGCAGCCATGGTGAGCATAAGGGACCTCTTTCAAAAACATCTTACTTTTGAAGATGAAAAAAAATCCCAAACTTTTGAACAGTAGTTTATATTTGTCTACTAAGCTAAATTCATGCATATATATATATATATATATATATATACACACAGGTGCATCTCAATAAATTAGAATGTCGTGTAAAAGTTCATTTTACACTGTTATACAAGCTGTACACTCACTACTTTACATTGTAGCAAAGTGTAATTTCTTCAGTGTTGTCACATGAAAAGATATAATAAAATATTTACAAAAATGTGAGAGGTGTACTCACTTCTGTGAGATACTGTGTATATATATATATATATATAAACTGTTGTTTTCTTACTTCTCCAAAAACTTGACAGGTAATTTATATAAAAACGTAAATATGGAACATCAGACCCTCAGTTTATAATACAGAAGCCAAACACCTATTGTATGAAAAGCAATAATTAGATTAAACCAGGAAAGATTGTAAAGCATGTTTAATCCGTTCCCTCTCCCATTCTTGTCTCTCTCCCTGTCCCTGTTTCTTCCTGCTCTCTTAGGTTAATGCATTGAAGAACAAGAGTGTTGGTGGGCTGTGGGAGGGGAAGGTTGAGCAGGTGGTGAGACGGTTAGAGGAGGCCGGGCAGATCACCAAGCAGACCATCGATGATTTCTTGTGTCACACTCCCTCTAGGAGAAGGCCTCTGGGAATATTGGAGCAGGAAAGAAAAACTAGCCGAAGGACTCGTAGAACTCTGCAGTCCACACTACTGCTAGAGTGAACCCATAGGGAGTTCAAGACACTCAGATTTAGTGTATTATATTACAAAAGCAAAGATGTATTCTTAAACTGCACACTCTGAAGATGCAGCCAATTCAAGCTCAGGCTTTGGCATCATCTACCTCCCATGTTTTCTGCCAGCTACTGTTACCTTCAGTTGTTGAAATCAAGTAAGGAATTGAATCACTTTAATAAAGTGATGTTTTTCTAATTTAAGATCTTGTGCAGTTTTGTATTCCTTTTTGAGGAAATGTAAGAATTGTGAATAGAGCAGCAGTCAGGTGATGACTTTGAACCCTCTTAATGTTCATAAGAGTATTTAATTGTCAATCCTGTTAATCTACATACAATACTTAAAATGGTAATAAACACTAAAAAAACAGTGTTGATGTGTTTTGTATGTGGTTAAAGTGTCATCCATGCATGAGATGTATAAATACACATTTTATTGTTAATAAATACTGTGTTAGTATTGATGTTTAAACATGTTGTTTGTCCAGAAATTTGACATCAAAATGCTTATATGTGACCCTGGACCACAAAACCAGTCATAAGTAGCATAGGTATATTTGTAGCAATAGCCAACAATACATTGTATGGGTCAAATTGATAGATTTTTATTTTATACCCAAAAATCATTAGGATATTAATTAAAGATCATGTTCCATTAATATATTTTGTAAATGTTCTACCATAAATATATCTAAACTAATTAATTTTTAATTAGTAATATGCATTGCTAAGAACTTCATTTGGGCATCTTTAAATGCGATTTTCTCAGTATTTAGATTTTTTGCACTCTCAGATTCCAGATTTTCAAATAGTTGTATCTCAGCCAAATATTGTCCTATCATAACAAACCATACATCAATTTATTCAGCTTATTTATTCACCATTATGACTGGTTTTGTGGTCCAGGGTCACATATGGTGTGACACATTTCCCCAGTTGACATTTGAACAAAAATGGGCAAATTAAATAAAATTAAGTATTTAAATTTTTTATAGTAAAGTTAATTAAGGGGGGGGGTAAAGCAGTGCTGTTTTATCATACTAGATAAATTTGAAAGTTCTGTTATTATGCTACTCTGTGCGGTCGTCACCGGTCTAATAAAACGCACAACATATTAAAGCGTCTTTGGTGTTTCCATGTTTTCTACAAAACAAAACCGGAAATCGAGGGGTTATGACGTCATTGGCAGGCGACACAATTACACTATGGACACGGTCCATGTCACTAGTTAAAAATGCTTATTTCTCTGGATTTAAACATTCTTCCAAACATTTGGGATAATGTAAGTACACAAGTCAGCAAAATATATAACACTGTTCTAGTGGTTTTTGGATATTTTAATAAAAAAAAATCTTACATATTGTGCCTTTAATTCAAGTCTCTTGAACTCTTTGTTTGAGTTAAACAGTCTTAAAGGGACAGTTCACCCAGAAATTAAATTCTAACCTCATTTACTCACCCTCATGCTCTTTTAAACCTGTATGATGTTCTTTCTTCTGTGGAAAACATAAGAAGATATTTTGAAGAATGTTGGTAAGCAAACAGTTTTGGTGACATTTGACTTCCATTGTAAGGAAAAAAACTAAAAGAAACGAAAAATAAAAAAAATTATGTACCACAGACCGATGTTATACAGGTTCACAACAAAATGTAGGATGAGTGAATTTTCATTTCAGGTGAACTATCCCTTTTATGTTTTATTCAGTGGCACCTTATTATGTTGTTTTGTTTGTATTGTATTCATTGTTCACAGAACAATGCCGCCAGTGTAGTGTGCAAATAAAGTAATCGCCCAACGTGGGGCTCGAACCCACGACCCTGAGATTAAGAGTCTCATGCTCTACCGACTGAGCTAGCCGGGCTTGAAGATGCTACTCTGTGCGGTCGTCACCGGTCTATTAAAACGCATAACATATTAAAGTGTCCTTGGTGTTTCGGAAATCGAGGGGTTATGACGTCATTGGCAGGCGACACAATTACACTATGGACACGGTCCATGTCACTAGTTAAAAATGCTTATTTCTCTGGATTTAAACATTCTTCTAAACATTTGGGATAATGTAAGTACACAAGTCAGCAAAATATATAACACTGTTCTAGTGGTTTTTGGATATTTTAATAAAAAAAAATCTTACATATTGTGCCTTTAATTCAAGTCTCTTGAACTCTTTGTTTGAGTTAAACAGTCTTAAAGGGACAGTTCACCCAGAAATTAAATTCTAACCTCATTTACTCACCCTCATGCTCTTTTAAACCTGTATGATGTTCTTTCTTCTGTGGAAAACATAAGAAGATATTTTGAAGAATGTTGGTAAGCAAACAGTTTTGGTGACATTTGACTTCCATTGTAAGGAAAAAAACTAAAAGAAACGAAAAATAAAAAAAATTATGTACCACAGACCGATGTTATACAGGTTCACAACAAAATGTAGGATGAGTGAATTTTCATTTCAGGTGAACTATCCCTTTTATGTTTTATTCAGTGGCACCTTATTATGTTGTTTTGTTTGTATTGTATTCATTGTTCACAGAACAATGCCGCCAGTGTAGTGTGCAAATAAAGTAATCGCCCAACGTGGGGCTCGAACCCACGACCCTGAACTTAAGAGTCTCATGCTCTACCGACCGAGCTAGCCGGGCTTACACAACGCCATTGTTGGGGTGTGTCACATGTAGGGTTACCCCGACACGTGCCTCCGTCCAACGACTCGACAGGCGCTAGGACCCGGCCGGTGCAGCACAGAGGCTTTTCGCTGTCGATGTGCGGTGATCCGGGACCAGACCGACCGAGTCCATGTATGTAAGCTAGCCTAGCGTCACCTGTGACACACGCTCATTTTCACACGGCTCTATCCACAGCAAACTCTCGCAGAGGCGTTTTCCCCATCTTCCGCTCGATAACAACTTGAAGCTGAAGGTCAAGGTGGAGGCCGTTATTTGATGTGAAAGGGTGTAGATCTGTGCGCCTACAGAGAGAGCGAGAGAGAGTCTCCAGCCACACAAGATGGAGTGCCAGTGGAAACCCGACGAGCAGGGACTTCAGCAGATCTTACAGCTGCTCAAGGAATCACAGTCCCCCGACACATCCACGCAACGATCCGTCCAACAAGTATCCTTTACCTCCCTGTTTAACCAGAGAGCTGAAGGGCAAGGGGATGACGGAGTTTGAGGAGGAGTTGGCCTGTGATTATTAGCTCAAACGTTACTATGTACTTAAGATCTGAAAAGCACTGGGTCAATTAGGGGATGTCTTTATGCTGTTTGTTTATATTGTATCTGTAGATTCGTGTGGTGTCTGTATGGTGTCAGTAGTATCGCTGTCTGTCATTCGGTGAGTGTTTGACTTATAGGGATAGTTCACCCAAAAACGAACATCTGTCATTATTTACTCACCCTCATGTTATCCCAAACCTGTATGACTTCGTTAGGACATAAATGAAGATATCTTGAGAAACATCTTAGTGTCCGTACAATGGATGTCAACTGGAGTCAATACCGTTTGGTTAACATCATTCTTCAAAATATCCACTTAAGAAAGAACGTCATACAGGTTTGGAACGACATGAGGGTGAGTAAATGATGACATAATTTAGATTTTTGGATGATCAGTCTCTTTAAGCTTTAGATCAGATGGCGGGTCCAGCTGTTGTGTGTCAACTGCCTACAGCACACACAGTCTCTGAGATGATTGCAGGCATTGCAGGCGCGTTTGAAACACTTCATATTGAAATGTTGTCTAGGTAGGCTGCTTACTATGTTATGAGACGCAGATTATGATTAGACGGACCTCCAGCTGCAGAGGTGCGAGTATTGTTATCATGGTGTTTCTGGCACATAATCAGATGCAGCTCAGACAAAGACATCTGATTCTGACATTCGCGATGTTACAGTATTTATTCCACAAAGGGAATACATTATTACATATTATGCGATTTCAAGTTTTCCTTTCTCTTTGGAGTGTTACAAGCTGTTCGTGAATAGATAAGATCCATAAAGTTGCAAAGACTAAAGTCTCAAACCCAAAGAGATATTCCTTATAAAAGTTTATACTGGTCCACGCCCTCCTAAAACGCCTAGTTTAAACACGCCCCCACATGTCTACGTCACAATGT